AATCACTTTGTCTAGCAGAAGGGATTTAATTTATCCATATTGACTGAATCTTGAATTTTAACAAGCTTTAATTTCATTTCATTTCGAAAATAAGTGGCTTTCGCTGTCTTAAATATTCAATTTACTATAAAAGTTTAATGTGCTGAAGCCTATTTGAATATTAGTTTAACCAGCTGTGGTAGAAGAGAAGATATTCCATGTATGACTCATATTAGGGCACAAAGATTTGTAAATTTCTAGTAACAAGAGTTAAATCAGATATTAACATGATACCTTTATCGACAAGTTATCTATCCAAGAGTATCGATGATTGCTATAAAAGTATTCGCGAATTGGATACAGGGCAGATGTCAAAAGCAACCTATTGCATTTTTAGCCTATTTATGAAACTTTGCATAACTTAGCTTTAGGGAGATAACTACCATTTTGGAATAAACCTTAATTCTTTTTAGCTGGCACAAGGCATATTCCAGCCTTTCACTCTCTCACTACAGGCCACTATTTTAGGGTAAAGCTATTGTGCTCCGTTGAAGCTAAGATTTACCAAAAGCAAAGGAAATTTTCATTTTTCAACTACCCCGGTATATGGCTTCCGAACAGAAGACCCTTCTAAGATCTCCTTATAATTGGAAGTGTATGCTTTTTTAGGAGTGCACGTTTGCAAAATAAAATATTGGCTGTATTTTAGCCAAGAGAAGCACAGAAATTCACATTTATAAGTTGATTTATCCTTCTTCCAAAATGGCTTCTAATGATTTTTCTTTCCTAGACGAATAGGGCTTTTGTGATCCGAATTTCCCACATGAATGGAATTCCAAACAAGGCTGGGCTTTAACTCGCAAATTTTCGCGTTCTCTTGTGCTCCTAACTAGTAGGTACGAGAAAATCATGCTGGCTTGGGCCATGCGTTCAAGTAAAAGATTCAAAAACAAGAAAACCCGAGCTACCTACTATATTCGTCATTGTAGCTAGCAAAATGATGGACAGAACACTCCACTAGTTAATCATGTAATATACTGGTATCTCCCGCCAAACCTTAGACGCGACCTTAGGATAGGAAGTTTAAGCAAACTACAGATGGCGATCTTCATTTATCCTAATAATCTTCTCTATTTATGAGCTCGTGTTATTTTGCGCCTTCTGATTTAACACTAAGGAGTGCTGATGAAATTGACATTTCCGTTAGCTGGACTGGACCGCCAGCCAAAAGGTCTGATACTGGAGTCAAATCAACAATTGCAGAAAATTAAATAACTTATTAGTCAACGTATTAATTGCAGGGAATTTTACGATAAAAAGGAGTATTAACACGCCGGATAGCATTGCAGCATATGGAAAGCATTTAGAATACAAAATTAGACAGATAAAATGGGATGGGAAAATATAGGAGAAATGAAAAATGACTACTTGTGGAGCCAGATGCCTTACCCTAATTTGGGTCGAACTCTCAAGTTCTAGCGTTGATGTGGACAATTGGGCCAAGCTTTCCGTCTCCCGTTCAGATGCTTGCGGCCCGGACAGGCTGGCCGAATTTTCATCCGGCCGAGCTGATAAATCCAATTTCTGTTGCTGCGCCTCTGTCTTTACATGGTCCACCAGGCCCGGACGACATGTGCTTGCCTCGTTAACATTTTCATCGTAGATGCACTCCTCAGGCTTCTCTGGCAAGTCGAACTCTTGCGTCACCTCTTGATGGTCACTGTCTTGCTTGCCAGAGGCTATCAGGAGAGGCTGGCCGGGGAGAGTTGGCCTGCTGATAGCGTTGGTATTCAACTCGGGGTCAACACAGATGGCATTTATCATGTTGGCAAGTTGAACCAAGGCCAATTCATTGTGTGTAAGCCCGATATTTTTATCACGCGGAAGGAGGCCGGTCGGGCAGATATCTTTACCTTGACAAGTACCATCCTGGCAACCAAAGCATAGGAAGAGATTTCTTTTACCACTACAATTTATGTCTATTCTAAAATCGATTTCACAATTAACTGTATAGAGTACAACTCCAGAAAAAACTAACTTAGCTTGAACCTAGCTTCTATTAAGTCATAGTGACCGCAAAATAGGGCATCTCTTACAAAGTGAGCTAGTTACATTAGCGAAGCACAACTAAATAGAAAAAGTAGGTTGTGTACAAAGAAAGCAAGAATTTTTAATATGTGGACAGGGGCTCTTATACCTGTTTTAAAGTTTGATTTAAATATGAAACGTGTCTTCAAGATTCGTATTGCTTGAGAAGCTTCGAAACGTGAAACTATTGTATTGAAAAAACAGACAAAATATTGTCTACTCGATAGCTGAACTAGTTTACTTGTTGTTCTTTATCTTCTAAATCCAGGGGATGAAATCTATAAGTTGCTCATAGAGGAAATAGGTTGTTTTTGATTCACCACGTGACTTTAATTACTTATGACAAAATGAGGTTACTTTAATGTATCTTAGATGAAAATAGGAAATATTTGCTAGGATTAGACCTAAAATTAACTTAGGCAAAGATATGACACAAATGTATTTTGACCAAACATCATGAGTCAGAAGGTTGAAAAGATCGTTAATCAATCTCGAAAGGCTCTGATATTTATGAAAGTAAACGGAAAAAAATCCCAATTCGTCATTGCATATATCTTCCATGGTATATAGAAGAGCTTTCTTATTCTGGATGAAAGGCAGCTCTGATCAGCAGTCTTAGAGGGACTCGAACGAGGTAACTACGAACTCAGAGGCGCACATGTTGATGCCAAGAACACAGGACCCTAGGGCTATCGTTTCGTAGAAGAAACACAAGTTTGGATAAAAGGTGGGTGACTTCTGATGAGGAAGTCATAAGTATGAGTTTATGCTGTCAGAGGCGTTTGGCGTAGAGACAAATAGAATGGTCGTTTGCCTAGGCTGAAAATCCACCGAAAGTACTAATTTCAAGAAACTTTAGCTCCTGCTGAACAATAAAGGGCCTCTTAGATGAATGCAGGAATTAAATAAAGTGGTGCATATGAATGCATTTATATTG